GGGGGGGGGGGGGGGAGTTTGCCATAAAACCTATTTGTGAAAATAAATTCAGCGGGAAAGAGGCACACTCAGCAGTCCGTTCAGTTACCTTCAGCCCTGCTGCAAACCTGTGTCGAAGAGGGCAGGAGAGAAGAGGCCAACCCAAATGCGGCAAAGTTGACACTTTGCCCGGTTAAACTAACGATCCCGCACCCTGTCGAATGGAACTTTTTGATTTACACCCTCAAGTCAGGAACCGTCACTGAGGCTGCTTCCTCCAGGAGCTTTTCTCATGGCACCGATGTTCACGGGCTTATTTGATCGGCAACAAACAAACAAAGCAATATAATTCCCTGTCAGCCAAAGATTACATTTCATGTGACAGCCCTCCTCCACCTACAATATCGCTCTGCGAGGATGTGACATTAAAAATGCATACACATTTTAAATTATATTTTCGATCTGTGCAGTGCTCTGCCGAAACAAGCAGGGCTGAGTTTTCATTCCTCTCTCTTGCAGTCTCTCTGCTCTTCTCGAACCCCTTGCCCGGATGGACCAGGCGAGCTCAGTCTCACCAGATCTCAGGAGCTGAGCCTGGCCGACCAGGGTTGGTCCTCGGATGGGAGGCCAGAGAGAGGGAAAGGCCAGGGGTCAGTCACCCCACCCCTCTTGACCAGGGTGGCGAGAAATGACAGAGAGCCGTGGAAGCCAAAACGGGGATGCCAAGCCTTCCGTGTGCACGAGGGAGACGGGAGTGGGACACGGGTGGCGGTCTCTCTCTCTTTTTTAATCCGCCTGCAGCTGGTGCCGCTCATTCCCCCTCCTCTGCTTAGCGTGGGCAGCAGCTTCTCTGTGTTTGAGGCAGGCTTGCTTTTTTTGTTCTGTTTGCCGTCGCAAATGACCAAGGTCCCTTTATTGTGCTATTTAATGTAAAAATCTGTGTGATGAGAGCTGTCACAGAATTCGGAATAATGGCATAATGACTCTAGATCATGGGGAACAATTTGCGGTGATAGGATCGGAAAATTATACCTCTTCATCGAGTTAAAAAGGCTATTAGATTTCCCATTATTGGCACTTTGAGTACTATGAATAAGCCTCACATAATTCTGTGCTTTCTCCCCCTTACCAGTCCTAAACAGCAGGCCAAAATGGCAGAATATTGCAGATTAATATTTGGCGATACTTTGCTGATTGAGCCACTGGAAAAATACCCAGTAAGTTTGTTTTCTTCGTCTCATGTAATTAAAAATTAAAAAGTGTATCAAAATGCAACTTTGACTTTTCCACTGCTTTTCATATGCTGTCTCCTACGTGTTATTTATTTTTTTTAATTTGTAATGGTCTTTGAGGGTGTTTCTAATTGCCATATAAAATAAGAAGAAACTGCGTTTTCATACCAAGACTAGCTTTCATGACCCCTGCTTTGGTTTTGCTACTTGTTGTTTACTTTTACAGAAAACATACGCAATCTCACGTGGGGCAGGAACAGAGATGTAAAATTCCTGGAGATTTTGAGGCCACGGAATAAAGCAGCAGTAGCGTGGGCAGCAGCTTCTCTGTGTTTGAGGCAGGCTTGCTTTTTTTGTTCTGTTTGCCGTCGCAAATGACCAAGGTCCCTTTATTGTGCTATTTAATGTAAAAATCTGTGTGATGAGAGCTGTCACAGAATTCGGAATAATGGCATAATGACTCTAGATCATGGGGAACAATTTGCGGTGATAGGATCGGAAAATTATACCTCTTCATCGAGTTAAAAAGGCTATTAGATTTCCCATTATTGGCACTTTGAGTACTATGAATAAGCCTCACATAATTCTGTGCTTTCTCCCCCTTACCAGTCCTAAACAGCAGGCCAAAATGGCAGAATATTGCAGATTAATATTTGGCGATACTTTGCTGATTGAGCCACTGGAAAAATACCCAGTAAGTTTGTTTTCTTCGTCTCATGTAATTAAAAATTAAAAAGTGTATCAAAATGCAACTTTGACTTTTCCACTGCTTTTCATATGCTGTCTCCTACGTGTTATTTATTTTTTTTAATTTGTAATGGTCTTTGAGGGTGTTTCTAATTGCCATATAAAATAAGAAGAAACTGCGTTTTCATACCAAGACTAGCTTTCATGACCCCTGCTTTGGTTTTGCTACTTGTTGTTTACTTTTACAGAAAACACATGCAATCTCACGTGGGGCAGGAACAGAGATGTAAAATTCCTGGAGATTTTGAGGCCACGGAATGAAACGGCAGTTCTGGGAAAAGTTAAAATATATGCAGGTCCTATCAAACCTAAACTAGTCATGCTGCCTTAACAACATAAAATGCATTATTTATAACCTAATTAACATATAATATTGCCATATTTGATATATTTATGGCATTTAAAAGGTATACATACCTTAGTTTTCTACAAGCAAAATTGCTAATATACCCAGTTCTTGGGGGAACACGGCAAGCTGACGGCCCCTGTGCTGTGGTAGTTGCGCACGTATCTTAATTTGTGCTATTGACAAAAAAAAAGGAGTTAAACAGAAGACACAAGCTGTGTGGCAAACTGTTCTTTAGTTTGAAAAAGGTTCACGCAAAGGGCCAGTCATACTCATGTGCACAGCTAGGGTGTCATTCCAGGCCGATGCTGCCTTCTTTCTTCCCCGGCTTCTGTGGATGCCGGTTAGGGAGATCTCTGTTCTCCCCAGTGAGGTTCCTGGAGTTTTCCTCTGTGGCTTTGACGCTCCTGGTCTTTTCTCCGTACCCCTCGCAAAGTGGGGCTGGGAGCTCCCTGTTGTCACCCGGTCTGTAGGGATACGTGTCCGTGTGGGTGGAGGGAGAGGAGAGAAGGCCAGCCGCAAGAGAAGAGTCGGGCTGGAAGGGCGGCCGCAGGCACCCAGCCGCTGAGAGGCAAGGAAGGCCCTGCATGTCGTCCCCCCCCCCCCCCCCCCCCCCCCCCCTTTGAAGATCAGGGATCCTTCTAGGTGCAGAAGCGCATTCTGTATTGAAGAGCCGCAGGCTCACCCCATCTTTTAAAGTGCTTCATTCTAAAAGAGGGAACCCTTTATAAATAAATACAGCACTTTGTTATCATGTTGATTTTAACACTGTATTTATATTGATTGTGTTTTATGTATCATTGGAATTGTAGTATTGGAAATAACTGTGTTTTGTGTATCATTAGAATTTTTATTCTGTTCTGTAAGCCGCCCTAGGCCAGGAGGGTGGGAGAACAAATCAAATCAATCAAATCAAATCAAACATTTCATATGAGGGTCCTTCCCCCCCCCCCAGTACTCCCTCAAACGTCCATTTTTTCTGTTGGGAACACTGGAAAAAGGGCTGGGGGGGGGGATAGGGAAAATACATGTTTGGGGGGGTTAATTCCACTTTAATAAGAAAAAGTCTCACAAGTCTGCAGATGGGAGCGGGAAGAGGCAGCCCCGCGCCACCTGATGAGTTGAAGGGCTAGCGAGGAATGCAGTGCCCACCATAGGACAGTCTAAGGTGAAGACACACCCTCTGGAGTGGACTCTTGAAGACTCCTTTCCCCCCTCCACCCCACGGCTGCACGGCTTTGAGTGGGAAATTGACCCATAGAAGCTGGGCAAAGGGAGGCGCGACCGCGGTGCAGCCCTTGTGTGAGATCAGTCTATGTGTTTTCCCACAGTCCTCTTTGTCTCTGCGAACTGCTCTGGCCCCTGGAAGGTGGGCTAGAGTGAGGAGGGATGAGGGGGAGCTGTTCTTACAGGAAAGGACGCCAGAGTCTCTCCGCCCCCCCCCCTTTGTCCCTCCCCACCAGCCCCTCCAACTCGTGGGGGGGGCCATGCCCGGGTCCTGCAGTGCTGGGAAGGATCTCTCTAGAGGTCAGAAAGGGTGCACAAAGAGAAGAATACAGGCCGGGGGGGGGGGCCTCCATGTTCTGGGTGCAGATGTTTGGGTGCAGGTTCCCCCAAGATGGCCCAGAGGACTTCCTGAACTCAAGAAACAGAGAGGGTGAGTGCCACCAGCTTTAGGCAAAATCACAGGGATAAATCAACTGGTAGTGCGCCTCGGCCAGTGGGGCGGGCTGGGGAAGGGAGCAGTGCCACACGGATTCCTGCCTTAAGGGCCCCAAGAGAGGAACACGGGTAGACCCAGGGTGACTCTAGGAAGGGCTACGTCATGTCTCTTGGCCATATCCAGAGGTACCATCGCTACATAGGCGTGCGTGTCGTTAGACAAATTGCGCTATTAGCACGAAAGGTGCCAATATAGGGGGGAACGAAAGCAAATATTGTTTACTGTGCTATCTTTACTCCCGATGTCCTGTATTTTATCAGCTTGAACGTGGCCTTCCCCTGCCAAGTCCAGCAGACCTGATGTACAAGATCCTGGTGAAGAATAAGAAAAAGTCCCACAAGTCTGCAGATGGGAGCGGGAAGAAGAAGCTGGCGGAACAGGCCTCCAACGCGTGCAGCGACGCCTCGAGTGGGTTTGAGCCGTCGTCTCCCGGAGCAGGTAAAAGTCTGCATCGCAAACGACAGGCGGACGCAAGCAGGAGACCCTCAAGGGCTTGCAGGGGGCATCTCATCCCCCCCTCCCTCATTATATCCCCTACAGCCTCCCCCCCTTTTCCCGCTCCCTCCTGACCTTCCCGCCCGCCCGCCAGCCAGACTACCTTTGTCTGCTTCAGACCAAGGTAGCAACCCACCTGAGCCACCACCCCCTATAGAGGAAAGCCTGAACACCAGGTCGTGACGTCATCAAAGGTAGTCATAACAGTCCCTGAACTCTGCAGTTTTCAGCTACTTTCACAAGTGTTTTAACTTGCAGTGTCTCGTGTACCCGACAATGATATCCTCTTGAACCTTTCACGGCAGTATTTCAGAGTCTTCACACTAGCTTACAGTGTTTCCCTTGCATATCTGAGTGTATGTTTCGTGTAATTTACAAGCATATAATAGGGGAAAGTGGTGGATGTCTGTTGTATGATGGTATTGTCAAATAATGCTAAGAGTTTAATGACTTTTGATTTTCAGTATTACTTTTTATCTACCATTGACACAGCATGAGATATTAATATGTACAAACTCATACTTAGGTAAGACGTTTTCACATACAGTAAACTTCAATTATAATCTCCAGTTACCAAGAAAGCAGCATTCTCTCTCAGGTTAACCTACAGGGTTATTGTGAGGATAAAATGCAGGAGGGAGAATGATGCACCCTCTTTTAAATACCTTGGATGAAGGCTGGGATTATATGTGTGTGTGTGTGTGTGTGTGATATACAGTATCTATAAATTACTTACAAAATGTACAGCATGCATACACATGTTGTAAATAAATGTACAAAACAGAAAACTGCTTCCCTCCCCCCAGCCTCCACCTCCACATTCACAAACGTTCAAATGAACCAACAAATGTAATAGTTCCTATGGAACTTCTTTTGAGTAAATTAGAGGAAATTAGAGGAAAATATAGATTCCTTCTCATCCCCATTTCAGCAGCAACTGCTCCCCCCCCCCCAGCCTCCACCCTTAGAATCCTGGTCAGATTCACTTTCTCGAGCCTCCCCCTCCCTCCAATCTCCCGGTATTCCCTTCCAAAACGAGGGTTCGTACAGTGGCCCCCAATTTTTTTTGGGGGGGGGAGAAACCCTGATGTTTGCAAGCGTCTCTCTTTTGCAAAGATCGGGGGAGGGGGGAAGGGAGGGCAAAGGGAAGCTTCAGGGAATCGACCCACCTCTTCCTTCCGTGAAAATAAAGACGGCCACTGTTTAAAAAAAAAACAAAAAAAACCCCAACAACCTCAAACCAACTCCAGAAAGCCCTCGGTCACTCAGGAAGCAGGGGAAACGCTCCCACTTGCTCGGCTCCGTGGGTTGCAGATCCCTTTTCTGGAAAGCGCAGCGGCCAGAGAGAGACGAACAACAACATCTTTCTATATAAATCTTTTTTAAAAAAATGAAAAATAAATCACAGATCCCTTTTCAATGCGCCGCCTTGCATTTATTTCAGAAACGGGGAAAGCCTCCCTCATTTTTGCAAAGAGAAAACCAGCCCGGGTGAAAGAGACCAACAAGGGTACTAGAACTTCTCTCGTCGCCATTGCGGTGACGTCAGGACCTGGTGTTCAGGCTTTCCTCTATAGGGGGTGGTGCCTGAGCCCGTGAATTAATGACCTCCCACACTTCCTGTCGTTAACAGCCTTGCTCAGGGCTTGCAAACTGAGGGTGATCAGTCCATACGTCTCACATTCCGTGTCCCTATTGCATACGTCGAACTATTTTGGACTTCCCTTTTGCATCCACTCACGTATAAAATCCGAGAGAGAGATTTCATAGAATATTTGTGGGTTGGACCCACCCTACTTCTTGGCTCCATCTTGGCTCATTCCTCTCCACCTCTCAGCCCCGTGTTGCCTTTTGTCCACGTTGCCCCAGCTTGGCACTTTTAGTGGTTGGAGGGGACCTCTTCCGTCTCCCCTTTTCACCATTGGAAAAACTGGATGGATCCAACCATCAGTGGCTCTTAGCCACAAGGGGATAGATAGGAAACAGTTTATTTTGCTTTGACAATTACTAAGGTTGGATAGACATTTAGATTAAATTTAAACATGCATAGACAGACAGATAAAAAGATACGTTACCTGAAAGAATTATGTTGTTAAAGAATTGGAAAAAGAGAAAAAATTCAAGAATGTAATAGAGGTTCGAGCACTGTGGGAAGTCAGAAGGGGGGGAGATATTTGGATAAAAGGATATGAAAAGTTTGTTATATGATGTAAAATTTTACTTCTTATTATATCCTAATTTAAATTTTTTTAAAAACAAAAACAAAAAACCTAGGGGATAGATAGGAACTCTTTGTCTGGGGCAAGGGATGCTCTGTATTCTTTGTGCTTGGGGGGGGACAGTGGGAGGGCTTCTAGTGTCCTGGCCCCACTGCTGGATCTCCTGATGGCACCTGGTATTTTTGGCCACTGTGTGACACAGAGTGCTGGACTGGATGGGCCATTGGCCTGATCCAGCGTTGGCTTCTCTCATGTTCTCTTATGTTCTGTGTTAACCCTTGAAACCTCTCCTTCGATTTGACTTTCGGGCAGAACTCGGGACAGGCTTTTGACTGTAGCTTGATTTAAAATTCAGCAGGGTTTGGCGCCCCGGCTGCCGGTTGCCTCCCCTGGTGCAGAAACCATCTCTTGAGCAAATCCTCTCGTCGTTTTCCATCCAGTATTGCTCAGCCCCTGGCTGGACCTCAGCCTCTTGCGAGAGAGCGAGGCTACTCACCCCCCCCCCCACAATGATCCCTGTCGGCTTAATGCTAACGTGCGCGCGTGGCTCCCTGCAGTCTGTTTCCATGACAGCAGCATCCTTCTTATTATGGCATACGTGCCAATATTTTTTTCTCAGTTTCTCACTTGTTAGCTTCCATTCAGAAGCCTGCCAAGGAACACTGTCTTAGGACATCAACGCCAGGAGTGCGGAGAAGCCCCCCTCGCCCTGCCAGATCAATGCCGGTCGGAATATTTGAAGTCCTCCCCCAGTACAATCTCTTTCTTCTCCCTCACCCCCCCCCACTCCAAAAATCTGTCCTTTTGGGGGAGTCGTGTTATTTCAGGGCATGAGAGACTAGGAAGAGGGTTGCTTCTCTGCTCCTTGATCAAATACTTCCTGTGAAGTATTCCTTGGGCCTGTAATGTTGTTTTAGTTCCATCCCGCTGCACTTCCCTTCAGATGGAGGAGGAGGAGGAGGAGGAGGAGAAGCGTGCTCTTCTGGATTTCAGCTAGAGAAATGGATCCAAATGGCTGCTAGGGATAACGACTAAAGGGAAACTCCACCTCTAGGGGCAGTAAGTCTCCCAGGAGCCAGCTTGGAAACAACATCAGTGTCAGACCTTCTTTCCTATGCACCAGTCAGCCCTCCAGAGCCACTGTGTGAAGCAGGGCGCTGGGTCACTAGAGGGACAGCAAGCTGAGTTAGTGTGAGCTAGCTCACAGTTTTTTAGCCTCCAGCTCACACATTTTTTGTCTTGGCTCAGGGAGGAGGGCTCCAGAGCAAACTGATTTATGCAGTCGCCAAATCGCTTGCTCACAACTTTAATGCCAGCCGCTCACAAAGTAGAATTTTTGCTCACAAGGCGACACAGCTTAGAGGGAGCATTGGAGGGACCATGGGTCTGATCCAGCAGAGCACCTCTTTTGTTCCTCAGAAACACAATATGGCCAATCCTTTCCTTTTGTTTGAGTAAGCAAGGGGGTATCTCAGGGTGGTCACCCACTTAAGAATCTTCCATTTTTACACCACGCATTAGGAGCCATTTAACATCTGTTATCAGTTTGTTTTGGTACAGCTCACAGGGAGTGTGAATGGTTACGCTCGGCAAGAACTAAGCTCCTCTTCATTGGCCTGAGCCGGTTTTCTCCTGGTCTCTTCAGCATTAGCCTTGAGGGTAGAATGCATTGGGCTGTGCTTGCAAAGTCCCAGGGCAATTCCATCACTCCCATTTTTTTAAAAAAAGGATTTCTGGGAACCATCTCTGCTTTGAGAAGGTGCGTTTATTATTTATTTATTAATTATTTATTTTCAATTTGTATCCTGCCTTGCCAGCGAACTGGCTCAAGGTGACGGTTCAGTCGTAGTCCACAGTCCTATAAGGTTGTGGCATGCATTTTTTCTTTCTTTCAATGGCCTCCTGTTGCCTGAAGTTGTCATGACTCTTCTGGAGTCTGGAAGGCAGGAGGGAGTAAGATTAAAACGAGCGACCGAGAAGCCTCTCGCCACTGATGGCTGATGCTCCTTCAGTCACTCAGCTGCAGGCGGTTAATAAATTCAGCTTCGCAGGCGTCCTCCGGGGCTTCTTCTTCTTCAGTCACGCCTTGCTTCATCATGTCTTCTGAGGGAGGCTTCTTACCAAGTAAAAGCTTAAGGCACCGGCCACGAGGACAGCAGGCTTCTGCCCGATGATCCTTGTGATCCCGTTCTGACAGCCACCCAGGATTGCCCCACTGAGGATAAAGGGAGCCTGCTTGAAGCGTGCCAGAGAGGCTGGTGGTCGTGACACTTGTGGTTTTGCTTGAATGCTGTCTTAAGAAGATTGCCTCAAAGCCATATTTAGGCAATCATCAGTCTTCCTTGTTCGTAGAAGGCTGTGTAAGTCATACAGAGTTTCCTGAGCTTTTTAAAACATGAAAAAGGCGTACTTAACTCTAATGTATTTCATATTAAGGAGTCCAGAGAAGTAGCCAAATTGGTCTGTTGCAGCGAAATTACACAGGAGTAGGGATGGGCACGAACTGGGAAGAGTGTGGTTTGTGTCAGTTCGTGGTTCGTGCCTGAACCTCAGTCTGGGAGGTTTGTTTGTGAACTGAGCCAGTTCATGGTCCGTGGCCCCTGCAGACCTTTCAGTGGGGTTTGCGGAGAGCCAAAGACGACAACAATGGCTGAGCGGCTCAGCTGTTTTTCAGGCTTTCTTGTGCAGGCCCTTTAAACTGGGGATTGCACGAGAAAGCCTGAA